GTCTTCAACCCAGTATTGTTTTGCAGCTCGGTGACGAAATCCTCTAGAATGCTCGGCAATCCCGTTACCCGCGCCCCCACGTCCCATGTAGGCCTGGTCCATCACACGGAACGACGTCTCAGAGCTAAAGCTCTCTGTGCGTTTCAGGAGGTTACCCACCTGACGAAATGGGGTCGCTACCTCACGACCAGAGGGTGATGTGATCCTGTCTTCATTCGCCTCATGTGCCCCATTTATCCTCTAGAAAGCGCAGCCATAAGGAGGTTGTTAGCGGTGCAAGCGATATCTATCAGAACTGAGAGGTACCTTTTGGACAGATCTGGAGCTCTCGGCAATCGAAGAGCTGACGATACGTTGTTCTTTTGGCTGTTGAGAGAACCAGTTGTTCATCCCTCCTCGAGAGAGCCGAACGTCGTGCACGAGATACCAGAAAAATGATGGGGTAAATCCGCTTCGTTTGAGTGACTTTGATCTAGTGTAGCGACGCGTTTATATGTCGTGACGATGCAATGCACCCACGCTCCTTTCCCCCTGAAGCAAGCGGGACGTGGCGGTGTGGATTGGACTGATAACTCGTACACAAGATTTAATTTCAATATCCCAGGTATTATTCCGGTAGACGCCTGAGCGAAAATACACACGGTGTTCGTGGGCCTGCAGCGACGGAAAGTTACTGCTGCCAAGGGGTGAGCAGAATCTGGCCGTACCCCCAAGTATATATCGCGATACTGGCCCTATTCATTGCTGTCTCTGTACTCTGATGGTGAACCGAATAGCATGAAATATCGGGCGTGTCAGTACGGGTGACAAAATTAACCTTGATAAGCCCCTGCTAACTAACGGGGGAATGCGGTGGGGCATAGGCGCGCTTCACCGAGGGCCTTCATCGAAATTGAAAAGTCATTCGAGTGTACCAAGTTAGGGTACTCACTCTATGTCCTGAGCTGTCACCTGCTCTACTTTTAGAGAACAGTGATCAAGAGTTTTTAATGTGTTCCGCTGGCCAAGCCACTCCGGAATGAGATACCCCGAGGGTATACTCACCAGCCACAGGGATGTTGTGAATGAAAGACAAGGGCGGGGTTCATTTCGAGCCTGTTCGCCAGAGACAAGTTTCAGTAACGGTCCCGTAACAGACGAGAAGGGGAACTGACAAGGTAGATGCGACAACCGACAAGCGAGAACCGTCACTAGATGCAGGAGGCCTGGCACCCAATTGAGCCCCTCGTCGAGGACTAAGATGCGCAAACGAGACTCGAGGAATCGCAGGAGTAAAGTCCAGATCTTGATGAGGATTATATAAGCTATACAGTCGTAGCGAGCGTAAACCGAACGTTCTCCTCGAGTATCTGCTGGCCACTATTCGTTGCATCTTTGAATCACTAGAACGCCTCTATCTCCCCCAAAAGACTCAGCGAGGCGTCGTCGTCGTTGCCGGCAAAAGCCTGGAAATTTTGCAGCTAATTCTAGACGTTCATGAGCAACGCAACCCCGCAAACGCACAAACCTGGGTTACTATAGCGTAGTTATGCTGGAATTCAACCTCCGTTCGTCAACCCCTATTCGCGCTGTCTGAAATGGAGCGGAGCTTGGTCATTGTTGGTGGCAGCGGAAAAAGGGAATCAATAATAAATTTATTTTCGAAAATGGTTTAGTGTTTTTCTTCCTTTGTTATCGTAGGCTGCGCATGCCACCGTAGCGGTAGAAGGTGGCAACAGCCTCTAGTGGCCGTCAACAAAACACGTTCTCCGACTATCACCACCACTTTTTGGAGAAAGCTTGCTGAAAGCCTCGAAAATACCAGCAGCGCGGGCTTTTCGCCCTACTTTGGCGTCCTTGACAATTCATTCGCCACCAACAATCATTTAACCTTTCATTACACTCGCCACCACCTCAAGATCCGTCCCCACCTACTATTTTTCGACATAGACCATGGATACAGATGCTCCTTCTGAGCCACAAGAAGTATCTGATTTGGTTGAGAGCGCTGACGCACCTCCCCCCAACATAGAAGTCACAAACATGGAGACCGTCTCAGAAACGGTCGAAGCCGATGGAGACGCTGATGAAGACTGGGATATAGAAATGGACTTGGGCAAGACAGGAGGTGCAAAAGCCGTACCAAGTCCTCCTCCAAACGCCTCGAGCGCGTCCTGGCATGCGTCGATGGCCGCGGTCACCACCGCTGCTGGCTACACGGGGACCGTGACTCGGTTGGGCGGGAATAGCAAGTCGGACGTGGAGGAATCGTGGGACGACTTTGATCTCGATTTTTTGTCGTCAGAAGAGACGCCCAAAGGAGACTCGCATCATACGTCGCTCCTTGTTCCCCACACAAAGATCGCCGCTGACCTGTCCGACTGGGACGATGATGACGACGACGACGCCATTCCGACCATTAAAGTTGCTCCTGGTGAGCTGGTGCTTCCCTCGAAGCCGTCCATGTCTTCTACCCCACCGAGGAAGCCGCACGCTATTCCTGTCGATGAAGATTTTGAAGAAGACTTCTCGCTCCCAGAAGACCTTGCCCATCTTTCTCTACGACCGCTCAAACATCGCTCTAGTAAATCCAATCTCGACAATTGGGGCGACAACACGGCATCCTCCACCACCTACTCATCAGAAGCGTCCTCATTTGGGGTTGGCACCCATGAATCCCCTTCCTCATCTGCCTCAAACTCTTTTTATACCCACGCTGGGTCTGAGACGGATGACGACGAAGAGGGTCTATTGGACGGTCTAGTCCTTCCAGAAGGTCTATTCGACGCAGAAAAGGACAATCGCCAATTGCACAAGATTATCGAAGAGAGGAAACGTGCTGCAGCATCTGACGTCCCCGCTGTCGTAGCTTCGCCCCAGGAGGATGAAGATTTCGAGACGGGTCTTGTCATCGACGACGATGTAGACTTTAATCTGTCCAAAGCCAAGCATCGACAGTCCCTCTCAGCTGGACGAATCTCGAGAGCCGTCCTTTCGATGCAAGGAGTCAGCCCCTCTCCCAAATCTGCCAACGCGCTTCTTCCTTCTCGAGCTCATAGCCTCACAGGAAGCCCTGAGCTGACACGATCACCTATAATGCGACCAAAGTCACCGCTAAGTCAGAGTTTCTCTGACGTAGTACGCTCCAATGCAGGTCGCAGGGAGGGAGCGACGTCTCCAATCAGAATACGATCAGGAAGCTCTTCGTCTCAACGAGGGGGTACTGCTTCTCTCCATTCCTCGACCCGACGTGCGGTCTCGCCTCCTCCATCAAGCTTTCTCACTACCAGTTTCTCGGTTCCCCTTAGAGAGCGCAAAACTTCAGCTGGAAAGTTGCAGGGGTCTGGAGGGGAATTGGATCTACAACGCAGAGCAATTGTGCGAAAGTCATCTCTATCTTCCATTGATGTTTCTTCTGTAACATCTGGAAACACCGTCAGGGTGACCCTCAAGCGCCCCGGATCAAGCGCAGAGGCCACTTCGCCACAAATGGAGCGACGACCGACTCTTACCAGTTCGTTATCCGCGACTCAGGTTGGACGTTACAACAGTCCTGTTTCCAACCGTGCTCAGTCCATGAACAGTCATGTTCGACCTTCTGGCATATTACCCTTCACCTCTACGCTTTCTCATTTACAACAGTCACCGAACCTAGTACCCGCAACGCCACCAGGAACACCGAGCTCCAATCCGATAGCGCTACGACTGACGATGACCACGACTAGTTCGAAAACTAGGCCACGTCCTCCGCTATCTTCTGTATTCCCCGGAAGCTCAATGTCACATGGAGGGCGCATTCATACCCCCCTCGTCCCATCCTGATGCCACCGTTCACCTTCTTCTTTTCTTGCCATTTCTTCATTACATCCTTCTCCTTTGCAAGGGCTCGTTCCTGGTTCGGAATCCAACCCTTGATATTAACGTGTCCTTTCGCACCGGCGCCACCCCGGCCGGTTATATGATCGGGCCCGTGAGTCTCCTTGTACTTCTTGAGAACTTCCTGGTCTTCAACCCAGTATTGTTTTGCAGCTCGGTGACGAAATCCTCTAGAATGCTCGGCAATCCCGTTACCCGCGCCCC